GGCAGCGGCTGCACGCCAGGATCTCCCCTTTGGTGAGGACGCTCGCTTAAGGCTCTACTCCTTGAGACTGACAGATTCCTTTCCACAACAGATTTTCGGTAAGTGACTAATAGCATGCTAAACTTTGAAATATTAGCTAAGTAATGTAAAGGAATGATTGCACAGATAGAATCCTTTAGACATAAACTGTTGACCAAGTCTGGGACTGGGATTGGATCCAGCTGCACCCAGACTCCTCCCTGAGAAGGAGTTCAGAAAGCCAGGGGGTCCTTTCTGAACCTCGTGAGTCAACAGGAGGTTCTCCCTGACAGCGTGTCTGACCCTGTGCTCTCTGCAGTAAATAATAGAGTGTGCCTTGACATTGAATCTTGTAAAACACTGTTGCATTCACTACTGGTTTTATCACATTTACTACTGATTTTATTGCATTTACTACTGATTTTGTTAAATCACTGTTTCACCTTTATAAGTATTTCACTACTTCTCTCTTATGAGTGAAGTCAATCACTCCGCCTGCGACACGTGGAACAAAACATGGGGACAGTTCAGGACAGGGCAATATCCTAGACATTTTTTTATTTTTTTTTTGTCTTTAATTGTGACCAAATTAAAATGAAACAAACAGTTTTTGATTTGCTGTTAGTTAACTACTTGTATGTACTCTTGTTTTTGGCTGTCTGAAATCATAGCATTTATACTGTCCTCAAAAAAGAGACTGTAACACGATTCAGTGCCCTGCAATAAACCTAAAACAAACCCACCCCAACCGTGCTTGGCAATTGCACCCAACTGCTCTCCAGCAGAGCAATAATCTCTGAGAAAGGCCCATGTTTAAGCACTGAAATTGTCCTAGAGGAACATCAAGGCTCAGGTCCTTGAGTGGAATGTGTGTAGTGTGAAAGTGATTTCCTGTACAAAAGGTTTGACCAAAAAACCACTGCGTTTTCCTTGAAAAAAAATAGATCTGGTTTTAATCCAAGAATTATCAGCTACAAGAATCTAAGGGTCATTGAAAGAAAAAAAAAGGTATCTCTGAATACTTGACGGAAGTGGAGACAGTAGAAAGTTGTTTGAACAGCCCCAAAGTAGGTGAAGAGACAAGGAAGAATGAGATGTTTCAGAGAGCCCCTGGGTCACCGACCAGCACACGAGGGTCTGTGCACTGTCCCTCAGCGGCCTTCGAGCAGCAAAGAAGAACTGTCTCCCCCCCAGTACCAGCCTCCTTCCCTCCCTCCTTCCCTCCCTCCTTCCCTCCCTCCTTCCCTCCCTCCTTCTCCATCCCTTTTCTTCCCTCCCTCTTCCATCCCTCCCTCCTTCCTCCATCCATCCACCCCTCCCTCCATCCATCCCTCCCCCTCTTTTCCCTTCCCTCTCCCCCTCACTCGCCCTCCAGCCCCACCTGGTCGCCCATACCGGGCCCGGCCCCGCCGCCGCTCGGGCCCCGCCGATACCAACAAAGGGGGAGCGGCGCCCCCCGCCCCGCCCCGACGCGGGGCACGACGGGAAGCGTAGTCCTGCCGGCGGCGGCACAGCCCCACATCCCCACAGTTATACCCCATGGCACAGTAACTCCCCTGCAGCACCCCATGGCACAGCAACCCCACATCCCCATCCCCACAGCAGTACCCCATGGCACAGCATCCCCATAGTGGTACCCCATGGA